TTTTAAGCAAATATCTTACTCTGTGTCCCTAGGGAAAGTAATTAATCTGGGTATGGAGTGTTCACTTGTTTTTCATTTTTATTCTTGACCAGTAGAAACTGTGAGGATCGCTATATATTTTTTATGGCAAATGATCACTGCATACTTAGAATAAGTGGTGTCAGTGCAGGAACCAATTAAATGCCCACAGTTTCTTATAAAGCCTATTGAAATTATCTGCTGCTTATTTACAGTGATTAAAATAGAATTTTTAAGCCTGCAAATTGATGAAACCCTTCAAAGAAGTAACCTAATTAGAGAGGCGATTGTTTTTTTTTGTTGGTATGTAATTATAGGATCTATACAACACTCTTGTAATATAATTAAAAATTAACATCTTACCCTTTGTTGTCAATGCCAGGAGGTTTCAGTTATTGTATTCATAAGTCTCTGAACTTGTTCGTTTGGGTAATGTTCTTAAAGTCATCCAGCCAGGTTTATTACATTGAAATCAAAGTTAATCCAGCATGTTCAAATAACCTTATATTAAAACCTGAAAATCTAATGAGGCCTTGTATGTTCTGTGTGTACAGCCCTACCACTTATGTTTTGGATGAAGATGAACCTCGATTCCTTGAAGAAGTTGATTACAGTGCAGAAAGTAATGATGAGTTAGATATCGAATTAGCTGAAAATGCAGATTACGAACCTTCTACTCAAGAAGAAGTACTTTCTGACTCTGAATCATCAAGAACATTCTTACCTTGAGCCCCCTTCCATCTCTTGTAAATGCAAAGAAGAAATGAAATATCTTGATTTTTATTACACAGGAAGCTTGAAAGAAATGAGTTTATAGAGAGCTGACTCATAAAAACAAAAAGAAACTTGGGCCTGTTTGGTTTCAAGACAATAAATATGTTATTAATTCATGATAAAATTGGCATTTGTTTTATTTAAGCTATTCAATGCACTTTATATAGCATTGAATTATCAGATATTGGATTTCCTTTTTTAAAGAAAAACCTGAGTATCATTGCATGAATTTTTATCTCATGATTATATCCTGCATCAAATGGATAATTTTGAAGTGTGTGCAAATATAAAATCTAAATTCTAGAGTCGTTGAAAATCCTGAGCTTTTGAAGACTAATATATATGTACATGGACTTCTGTAGATATGTCTGTGTAGGGATGGGTCGATACTGAAGATAAGACTGTTCTTCTGAATCATGTTAACTGTTGAGTTGTGACTGAAATAATCCAGAATTTGCCTTGAAACCATTACATTCTACATTTACCAAATTAAACAAATAAAAACTATATTAAATGTTGCATTCATTTCGTCATCCTTTTTAGCCAGTTCAAATTATTGGTTTATAGAATCTTAGTGAAAACATTATAAAATCCAGCATCTGAACACATTGATAAAATTTTGTTTTAAAAATGCCTAGTTTACTAGTGTTGTGTTTCATGGTATGGGTGTGCCTCTACCTGCCATAAAAGATGGGTGTGAGCAGCTCTTTTGTCTAAAATTGAGTCTCATGAGTGCACCTAACGTTTATCACTACAATGAGTTTGTTAAGAAGCTTTAAAAAGGCAGTGAGCATACAACACAGTGTTATAGGTACAGTTGTATATAAGCTTATGTAGCATTTCCTGAGTTGTGATATGTCATTAGACTTATCAAAGTAAGTTCATTTAGGGCGTGCTAACCACTGAGTCCTAAATGACTGCAGTGAATTCAAGCCTTTTTTTGTAGCAACATCTTCCCAAGTTTAAGCTGTCCTGCTGCAGGAATGACTGTTTTCAAATAAAACAAGTCCAATGATTTTGTTTAAGTGCTTTAAGAACTAAGTTTCTGTTGTAGCAAAATAAATCCAAAAAGATACCTCTTTAACAGCTTCTTGTGGGTGCTTAGGTTTTGGCACATTATCTTTGGTTATTGCTGATTCAATTTGTCAGTCTTTTTAATTCTTTTTAACCTGTAATAATTGGAAAGAAATTACAAAAAGTATATTTTCCAAGTCATTGATTTTCATTGTATTATTTGAGGCATTATAGTCCACAGCATAGCTTTTTTCAGTGTTATAGGAACCATGTTTAAAAACAGCATGGAGCAGTGGATAAAGAGGTCTTTTTCTCTAAATAGCCTAATTCTTACTAATCTCAGAAAATAAAGACTAAATAGATGGTGAAGTTGAAGAAAACCTTAGTGTGTGGCTACCTAATTTAGGAGAGCTCAGGACACTCTAGCAAGGTAAAGCATTATTTATTTAATAACTTATCTAATAATTATATTTAGAAAGTTATTTATTTTGTATGTGAAATAATTACACATTTAATTATAAGTTTTTCAGAGTAGATTATGAAGCCACTATGTCCGTATTGTGAATTTTTCCTGGTTCTTATAACATTAGAAATTAAAAAACACAGTATCCATTATGAAAAGCAACTATATTAATATAATAATGTGCAGAATAAGTCACAACTTTAATTATTATGTTAAGCACTAATAACAACTTCTTGTCATGTACCGTTACAATATTTTGTAGTGATGAAACTCATCTTTTAGCATATATTATAAATCTGAATATGCCTTTTATTAAATATTTACAGGATTAAAGAGAAAGTCTATATGGTTAGAAAATTATTTTTTCTTAAATAATAAATAGTGTTGGGAACATGAAAAATAATCTAAAATCCTAACTTTCCTAATTAGGGGTAAAACTAAGTTTCATTGGCCATTATTAGTTAAAATTGCCCTAAATCTTACCTCTGTGGCTATGTCCTTTCAGAATTTTCACAGAATGTTTGCCATAAGCCTGAAAAATAACGTGTAGCTGATAAACTGAGTGTAATGATAGAGTTTAGCTTTATTTACCCTGTGTTTGGAACCACGGTGAATTTCTTAAATGTAGCTTTGGTCTAATCCAGTGGTTCTCAAACTGCATAGCATCGGGATGTACACTGTGCAGTTGGAGAATTGCTTCTCAAACCAGGGCTACTGATTATGTATACCTGGGGTGGGTCCCCTGCACTTGCACTTCTTAAAAATTGTCCACTGGTGATGCTGTAGGACCCTCTCTGTGAGAACCACGGTCCGATCTCTTTCATGATCACGGTTTCCTAAGAATCAGAGGACCTGTGAATTGGGAATCAGCACCAGAGGTGATAACTAACTTGTAGAATCAAGGAAATAGACACCCAGCCACAGGGTTACTTGGGCAGCACCCGGGTTTCAGCCCAGGTCTTCTGACCACTAGCCTCATGTTCTTAACACAAAAGGAGATGCTACCCTCTGCCTTTCGCCATAGAGTGAGAAATGTTAAAAGCTCTGGGTCTCTCCTGAGTTTGCAAAATGCACGCAGGCAAGGCAGGATGCAAAAACCCGTGATTCACATTGGTTTTTCCTTCATTGCAGTCATAGTGTTGTTGGAACACAAGATTTTTGTCCGACGTTAATCATCTGCCACTTTTTCCAGTCTCTGTGTATTATTTGTCTGAATCCTAATTAGAATAAGTAACGTGGGGTTGCACTTCAGAGAGCATATTAACAGCAAAGAATACAGTACTTTTACATTTCAAATATCCAAATAAAGATGACCATGTTATTATGAGCACTGAGATGGGTACTGTAATAAATGTACTAATGGATTTGTCTTTGTGCATGATCTAGAAATAAATGACAGCCATGAAACTGTACATGTTTCTTTATAAATCCTTTCGTTTTTGATGCACTTTAATCATAAAACATTCATAGAAGAATCAGGGAATTTTTCTCTTATTTTGGTGAGGGTTCAGGAGCCATGTATAAACCCTAGTTGTTTCCAATTGGGAAAACCTGTTCAAGCAATTGGTACTTTCATTGAAAGGCTCTTCTGCATTGTATAATTACTAATGTTTAAATAAGTATTTCTCTGGTTGAAGTACATTTAAATTCCTGCACAGAAAAAAAGGAAGAAAGTCTCATTTTCTTTTTGAGAATTAATTTTTGGGAGGTTTAGTTCTTGAAATGTCACATTTCAGTTGTTTTTCACTTTAGTGATATTTACAAAGCACTTGCCTCTGCTGGGTTGACACTGGTCACTGGTTGAAGGGAAAGTCTTCCTTTAGTTCCCTCCCTCCTCTTTCTAGACCCCGAAGGGTAACTTAGGCCTGTGGCTGCCCACTCTGCCTCATAAACCTCCCTCATAGGCTCATTTGACCTCCTGGTCCCTTCTGTCTTATTACCTTACTCAGAGCTTGGCTGGTTGCTGGGACATTGAGTTATTAAACTCTTCTTTTTCAGTTTGAGGTTGCTAAATATGCAGTGCCTCGATCCAAGTGAATGGCCCTTTTGTGGTGGCATTTGAGGCATCGTGCAGGACAGACGTTTTGGAGCCTGGGACATGGCTGACAGTGTTGGGGCCTGATGCAGTTCTGTGCACGCACATTTGTGCCCACACACCCCCGTGAAGGGGAAACGACTGAACTCCTCCTTTCAGCCTTTAAACAGCTGAAGAGGTTTCACTCCAAATATTTAGAAAGGTTTCCTTTCGTACTACCAAATGCAGGACTCTCCCTCTCAAAGACGTCATTGATAGAGTGCCAAGTAAAAATGAGGTGAGCAGTGGCAAAAACCTGGAAACAGGTGTTTTCAATGTACTCGTAAGTCACAAAGATCTGTCACAAATGGCAAGTGTGTAGAAATGATAAAAGGCAAAGGTGCTCATCATTGACAATTAATATAGAAAAGACTAGAGTTTAATAAGTGAAAGCAAAGTCTACACCTGTGAAAATAGGTTGGCTTCTCTAAGCTTTTTCTAGCTGATGGTGTAATTAAGTAGGACATTTTAAGACTGAAAATTTATTTTCATGTCTAGTGCTAAATATTTACTAAAGCCATGTTATCTACTCTTTACAGTGTCATGACTTTATTTTTAAACTTTCCCATTCTTTATACCACCTATATGATTGTTTGTTCTGTTTTCCTCAGTAATTCTTAGAAATGCTTAACATGTCTTGTTTCCTTTTTCTTTCAGAATGTGGGCACTTGAACAGAGTGAATGAATTGGATTTCATATAAAAAGATACATTTTAAAATCTGAAGGATGATAATTTGTATTTAATGTAGAAAGAAGGGTGTCCAGTGCATAACCACCTTTGTTAACCTTTATTTGCTCATCCTGAAGATCTACACAAGATGAAAACAAAAAACCCCTATCACTTATGCTAAAATCCAGATCACTGATAGCACAGAATGGACATAGTGTGCTTGTTTCTCAAATATTCATTCTCCCCCTTGTCCAAGCCACTGTTTAAGATATGTGTGTCTGAGGCCACCAGCTGCTGGGGGGAAGCACGTGGCCTGGGCTGGTCAGTCAGCTCGTTGTATCTGCTGGTCTGGAGTTGGCCCATGGTCAAGTCCATCCAAGAACGAATGTATGTCAGGACTTTTAAAGGTGATGCTAGAACAGAGGTCCCTCCTGGGAAAGGAAGGGTGGAGCTGCTGGTGGCCACCAGGCGTCCTTGAATGAAGAGCACTTCTGAGAAGAGCCAACATTGAAGGAGCAGAGTCAGGACATCAAGAAACACCGGGTCCCCATGTCACACAGTAAGTGGAACCTTGGACTGCATCAGTTATATGGACTTACAGATCGCTCTCATTGTTTAGACTATTCAACTGGATTTCTGTTATTGGAAAAGACATGTCTGTTACACAGGTTTGTATGTCTGAAACCTGTCTGAAAAGCCAGCAACCTTCCGTGTCCGTCCCTGAGGGGTGGCTCCACCCATAGCACATGTTCTGAGAGTTCTTTTACCCAAAGGGGCACTGTGAGAAGGCAAAAACATCAAGTCTCCACTCAGACATGTCGAACAAACTAATCTTTCTTTTGTATCGGAACAGTTGACTGGGCTAGAAGTGAACCATATTTTTGCTGTTGCCTGCTCAAAACTCGGGGGCTCCAGTCCTGCAGCTGTCAGTGCTCTCAGAGATAATATTGTTCCCAGAGTGGACTTCTCAGCGTCTTGAAAGTTTGTTCTCTCCGGTGGTAATGGAGGACGCAAGTGGTGTGCACTGAAAACGAGGACATCTTTACTGTTGCATCATAGCCACAGGTTGTCCCAGAGAGCAAGCTGAGAGCGACCAGAGACCCCTTTGTTGAGTTGCAGTTGGTCTCATTGTAGACCAGTGAGCAAAAACAACGGGATGACGTTTAGGTATTTTTCAGTTACCAATTTCAAAGCTACTTCCATCTACCCACTGGTGAGAGCTGCAAATCCCTGCCTTTCATTCACACAAGATTCATAGATAGAGAGCATTTAAATAGCTCTTTACGATTCAAGAAGCGCTTTCCTATAAGTTACTTGAGCATCTCGGAAACACTATTAATAAACATATCATTAGCATTTCCATTTAATTTGTGAGAAATGTGAGGCTTGGACTGGCCACCTCATTTACTTGGACTTGCTAGTGGGCCACAGAGGTGGGGCTCAGACCCCAGCTTGCAGCCCCTCGTCTGATGACCCTGTGCCTCCTCACAGCAGCGGAGTGCTGGCTGGGGCCACCTCTGCAGTGAGTCAGCTCAGCCAGCCTTGTAGAAACGGTTTGGTGATTGGACAAGCGTGCACCTGTTTCATCACCACATACCACAAATAGAGTCCCTAAGGAAGGTGGGGGGAGCTAAACCCCACCAACCACATCTAGTGTGTTAAGCACTCTCCTGAGTGCTTTCTGAGAATGGTCTCGATGGAAACATTTTCTCTTTGGCCTATGGAGTGATTCTCATATTTTCTAAATAAGTATTTCTATGGGTGGTTAGGAGGAAGGCAGTACATCCAGTGTTTATTTCTAACCAGTTAATTTTTTTTTTAAAAAGGAAAGAGACCCTTGGGTCTTTTTATTTGATGTTTAACAAAATAGGTAATGGTTTAGTGCAAACCTTTTCCTCTGTCTTTTCTGCTTTCAATTAAGGTTTGGAAAGGCTGCGTTTGTATCTGTGATGCGGGGGTTGGGGAGACATGTCTCATGTACATTTGTCTCACAGACTTAACCTAAAGTAACTTTTCACTTCATTTTCTTTAAGGAATTTATGTTTCCACTGAAGAGACAGTTTATTCTTTAGCTTCATTATCACTTTAACTGGCAGGGCCAAAAAGTAAGTCTTAGAAATAAGCCCATAAATTACCCATTTTTCTAGACTTACATTTTAGAGGAATAGAATTTTTTATGATGCAAAATAAGGATAAGGTGACTGAAACACTCCAACTTCAGCTTGTGATCAAAACTGTTAGTAAAATTTTTATAGACTTTGTATTTATTGGTTGATTGTGCTCATTAGCTTGTATCGTCCTCTGAGCCCTGTAATTCTGAGGGTGTGAGTGCGGTAGTTACGAACCGGAGAGCTGGGCCCCTGCCTCTGTGACCGTTTGGACAAGTGCCCCCTGGCCTGCCCTGTAGAAGACACCTGTTGTGGAGATTCTTAGGGCTGGTGTGTCTGGCTGAACAAGGAGGGGAGCGCTGGGACCCTAATGGCTTTACTTCTAGTTAATGTGATGTGAGAGGTTTCACTGTATCTTTATAGAGAAGTCCATCAAATTTACAAAACTTTTTTTAATCCTCACCCAAGGGCATGTTCATTGATTTTAGAGAGAGAAGGAGGGAAAAAGAGAGGGAAAGAAAGGGAGGGGCTGGGAAGAGAGACAGAGAAACATCCATGTGACAAAGAAACATTGATCAGTTGCCTCCCATACATGCCCTGACTGGGGATTGAACCCGCAACCCTCTTGGTGTATAAGATGATGCTCCAACTATGAGAAACCGAGCCATTGGGCCAGGGCTACAAAACTCTGTTGTCAGATTACTCCTAAGCAGGCCAGTCTGTTCACTACTCAGAGTGAATAAAATCATGACTTTTGGCTTTGATGATAAGAAAGGCTGGCATTTAGAGAGTGCCTGCCTGCTGTGCTGCAGGCATTGATCCGTGTGCTTTTTATATGTCTCTTTTAATCGTCACACCAACACTGGGTTAGATAGTATCAGCCCCATTTTGCAGATGTGGAGACTTACCTTGCTAAAGGTTACCCAGCTAATAAATGTTGGAAGGTTAGTTGATTCTTATTTAAGCCAAGCAGGACAGTGGGTACTGAAGACTACCATGAAGGGTTTCACAAAGTTGTCATCCTGGATCCCACGGTATCACACTGGGGAGCACATTTCATGGCCAGCACGATTTAATGGTGGACTTGTAGACGTGGGTCTGCCACCTTGGTGTCGCCCCCAAGGAACAGGTACAGTGGGACACTTCAGTCTAGCTCAGGACCTCACTGACCTGAGCACTGCAGCAGGACGGCCTTCTGGCCCCTCACGGTTAACTTCTCAGCGGCAGTTCTGCTCATGGTCTGTCCCCCAGCACGTGTGACGGGCGATAGCTGGTCACCCTACAGGTGCCGTCTGCAAGTGGGACCTGGGTGTAGGGCGTGTTGAAATAAATTTCTAGGCCCAGGATGGTGCCACTGCTGCCTGAGGTGCCATGTCAGCAAACCAAAGCCCGGTGTCCCTGTAAATGCTCTGCTTGACCGGAAACGCAGCACATCCAGCCAGTCAGTCTGCAAACACCAGGTCAGCTCTGGGCTCTATATTTTCATTTCTTCTCACCCCAAACAAGCTTGACTCTGTGGCCCCAGTTAGTCAGGTATTTTTTATTTTTCTCTTCCTTGCCCTTTTCCTGGAAAAACTTACTGCTTTCTGCCCCATTTTTCAGTTTTCTAAGTGGAGACCGTCTGCTTCATGAAGTGTTAAAGTTTGTATCACCGAACCCTGACTGGTGTAGTTCAGTTGCAGTGTCAGCCCATGGACCAAAAGGTTGCAGGTTTGATCCCTGGTTGGGGCGCATATGAGAAGGCAACCGATCGATGTTTCTGTCTCTCTCTCCCACTTCCTCTCTCTCTAAAAGCAATGAAAAGATGCCCTCTGGTGAGGATTAAAAAATTGTTTGTACCACTGAATTTAATAATTTTTTTAACAGGAGTGTCCCACATTTGGGAGGGATCAGAGGGCTCGGGAGAGAACGGGCAGGAACAAATGCCGAATCAGCAGGTGGTGACGGCCCTCCGACCTCACAGCAGGCCAGCCCCCTACCCGGAGAACTGGTGTTCTGCATAGTGTTTAAACATCAACTTGTACAGGAATGATGAAACTTATTTTTACATACTTAAAGTTCTAAAAATTGTGTCATATTACAGGTGCAGGTGGAAGAAAAACAGATACAAGCTAAACATAGTAAAGCCAGACTTTACCTTTAGTTTTTTGGATATGTTAATATTTATTACAATGGCTTGGTAGTTCGATATTCAGTATTGTGATCCCTCCAACTTTGTTCTTCTGTCTCAAGATTGCTGAGGCTCTTTGGGGTCTTTTCTGGTTCCATATGAATTTTCGGAACATTTGTTCTAGATCTGTAAAATATGCCATTGGTGTTTTAATAGGAGTTGCATTGAATCTATAGATTGCTTTGGGTAGTGTGGACAATTTAATGATTTTAATTCTTCCAGTCCATGAATACAGTATATACTTCCACTTGTTTGTGTCTTCCTCTCTCTCTTTCTTCAATATCCTTCAGTTTTCTGAGTACAGGTCTTTCCCTCCTTAGTTAAGTTTATTCCTAGGTACCTGATTTTTGTTGTTGTATTGATAAATAGGATTGTTTTTTTTAAGTTTCTCTTTCTAAGAGTTCATTATTGCTGTATAAAAGTGCCTTTGATTTCTGGATATTAATTTTGTATACTGCTCTTTGCCAAATTCATTTACTGAATGTAGTAGTTTTTTGGTGGAGTCTTTAGGGTTTTTTATGTACAATATCATGTCATCGATGAATAAAGACAGTTTACTTCCTCCTTTCCGGTTTGGATGCCTTTTATTTCCTCTTCTTGTCTGATCACTGTGGCTAAGACCTCCAGTATTTGTTGAATGAGAGTGATGAAAGTGGACATTCCTGTCTCGTTCCTGATCTTGAGGGAAATGCTTTTAGTTTTTGCTCATTGAGTATGATGTGGCCGTGGTTGTCATGTATGGCCTTTATTGTGTTTAGGTGTGTTCCCTCTATTTCCACTTTGCTGATAGTCTTTATCATATATGGGTGCTGGATTTTTTAAAAAATAAAAATTACATGATCACGTCAATAAATGCAGAAAAGGTATGTTAATTTTTAAATAACCCCTATTCCAAGTTAAAGCTGCTTGCCTAGGAACTCACAAAGGGACAGATGTAACACTCAGAATGTAAGTTCACTGTAGGTCTTTCATGTGATGATTTTAATCTTTAACCTTTCCCATTATCAGTGCCACCCATGTGTTTTTCAGCTCCACAGGCTTATTTTGTTGTCCCAGCTTGAGAACCCTGAATCTTATTAAGTGAAGATTCTTTCAGATTATCTGATGTTTTTCAAAGGGACAGAGGATGCCCTTGGACAGGTTGCTTTTCTAAGTTGCAGTTAGTCTGCATTGGGTGGAGGGTTTGATTCACCAAGTATTACTATCACAGCTCGTGAGGTTATTAAGACCCAAAGTAGCAGCAGCAGCCTATTGACTGAAGGAAAATGGTGCAACTCAGGAGTTCAGTCTGCTCTATTTGCATGAGAAAATAATCACATTTATAACTGAGGGAAGGAAAGCAAGAGATATTCTTTAAGTCTTTGTATCGAGCTTAAAACTGTCTAGAAATTGTCTCCATTTGGGGTCAGCATCCCTAGACTCTTGGAAATTGGAGACACTTCAGTTGATGATCTACTGAGAAGCGCAGACTTGAGAGGAATTCGGCTGTTGCCTCTTTGTTGGACTCATGCCCCCATCTTGTCTTTATTGATGAAACTGGGCCATAAAATTCCTGGGAAAAGTAATATTTCCCTTCATCAGGTTTCTCACCAGAGTGGGACAGGGTTTGCTGTGGGCTTGGGGCCCCTCACACTGGGTAGTGGAGCTCAACTTAGACAACCTGTGGGGCCGAGGCTGCCCTTTCATGAGTCTATTTTTCTGATTCAAATTAGTTTGCATTGGGTGGAGGATTAATATCCATTTAATCATAGCTTGTGAGGTTCCAGAGACCCAAACTGGTAGAGTGTCAGGTACACAGCCCAGCACGGGAGAGAACAGCGCAGTGACTCTGTGGGTGGTGGCCCATCGGACTCATGTATTCTATGTAGTATTTCAGAGTTTCTCTGCCCTTCCGTGGAATCTGTAGTGCTGAAAAGGCTCTCGGAGGTTATCGAGTCCCCTTCTTTTTTAGATGAACAAACTGAGTCTGAGGGAGGTTAAGTGGTTTGCCTGGGACTACCCAGCTTTCTGACTCTGCTCGTGAATCCCGCCATCAGATCTTCCTGATGTGTGAGCTCTGCTGCACATCCATCCAGGATGAGCGGAACGGACTAATTTCAGGCACGTCTCATACTTTGTTGACAGTTACATTGCCCGTCTTGTCATTTGACTTTAGAGCTTTGGGGAAGCACCTTAAAATATAATTGCAAACACTCTACCCCTCCACACGGGCACTCCCCTGCCTAATAATGAGGCTTTTAAGTGGAGGCTTAGGAGAGCAGCAAGGTGATAGCTCATGTGAAAGGAGAAATCTGGGCAAACGGGATTTGATAATGGATTCTTCAGTGACACTGGTGGTCTGTCCTGCGGTTATGTTGGTACATTTTGTTTTTTAATACGAATAGCCAAGTATCTCAAGACTTTTTTTTTCTTTTTCAAAGCTGTATGTTTGATGTTCCTGTTTTGTTTTTTGTCTTTGTTTAGAAGTTGCATTTTCTATTGTTTGTAGATCTAACAAAAAAAAGAAAAAGTTTTTTCTATTGCCTCAGTGATTTATTGTTCTATTCTTGGAGTAGAAGTTCTAGGTACTGTTGGATTTGAGACACCTAGAAGAACTGCCTGTGAGCTTGGCAGCTTTTCATTGAGAGCATTCATTCACTCGTTCACTTGTCAGACTTTTATTAATTACTGATACGCACAGCACCAGAGTAGGTGAGAGGATGCAAAGTGAGTAAGACGCGGGCCTCGTCACAAGGAACTGGGAGTCCCATGGAGGAGATGGGCCTGGTGTCAGTAAACAGTGATGTGAGACAGAAAGAACATGGTGGCCGGGGAAGGGGCAAAATGCCAAAGGGGCAAAATGCCGAAGGGGCAAAATGCCGAAGGGGCACGAGGGAACGAAGGGCTAAGCCCGGAAGTGGGCCTCTGGAAGGGTGGGATGGTGTGAGACCGGTTGGACCCTAAAGAATGCTGGGATTATGAAACCAGGGGAATGGCAGTGGCGGAGCGCAGGCAGGGAGAGGACCAGCTTGGGTGTCGCAGGGAGAGGGAACAGGATGGGCAGCGGCTGGCAGGTGAGGGAGAGGGAAGTGGTGCTCTGAATTTGGAAGCTGTGCTATGGAGCTTGTATCCATAGGTCAGTGGGGAGCAACTTAAGCAAGTAAGTGACGGGGTTACCTTTCTATTTTAGAAAGCTAAAGAACGATTGGAAGGGTATAAATCCCCGATTTCTCTTTTGGATCCAACAACCGGCTGGACTTCTTAGACTTGACTCTAACCCCCTTCTTGGAGGAGTCTGTATCGGACTCCCAGTTCCCTCTGGCCACTGGCTACCCCTGGGTACAATCCCGTAGGGCCCTTGGAAATGGGACCCACCCTCCCTCTAAGCCAGAGCCTGAGGCTCTGAGGAAATGAACAATGGTAATCACACCAAGGTTGTGGCTCCTTCTGACTTCAGTGCTTGAGTTTAACAAGTACATGCGAATTGTGGATCTTGACATTTCAACTAAGGATTCTAGGCTGTGTTAATATTGTCGCAGAATGAAGTTCTCCAAGCAGGTCTTAGAGAAACTGATAGATAATTTTCCTTCTCGCCAGACCTGAAAACAAATTTCTGATCGATGAATTTGCTGAGCGACTCCCTGTGGAGAACCTGCCTTGGGAGGTGGAAAGAACTGAATTGCAAGCCAGCTTGTCTACTAATGCACCTTGGTCAAACCTGCGGCAAAGAGTGCATTTCCTTGGAATTCATCTTATTAATCTATAAAGTAAAAGATCATGAGGTCCCTCTGTGATTCAGTGATTTGGCCCAACTTTATCTGTTAAAACATGTATTAGATGGGTTACTCTGGTTTTTGTTATAAATGCAAGGTATTTGGGGCCATCACATTAACCTGGCTATCGAGTTCAAAACCGGTGAAGTTTGAACTGAGTCAAGCTTTTGTGTCTCTGTGCAGCACATGTGTGCAAAGCAGTTTAGGCTCACAAAGCATTGACAAATACCTCCTTACCTCATTAAACGGTCACAATAACTCAGTAAGTGCGTAATCATCTCCATTGCACCCTGGAGGAAATCAAGCCACAGGCAGGTAAGTGTGACCTGTGCAGGTCACCCACTTGTATATGCCAGGCAGAGGTCCAAGCCCCCGTTTAGGTGGCAGCCCCAGCAGTTATTCTTACCGTGGCCGACATGCTGCTTCTCAAATTCCTCTCAAATCGGAAGAGTAGAGGGAAAGTGAAATTTGAATTAAAATTGCTTGGATCTCTGTCTATGCAAAGAAAATTAAATTAAAATAACAAGAGTAGACCTGGCTGGGTGGCCCAGTTAGTTGGAACATCGTTGTTTCGTGCACCAAAAGGTGGCGGATTCCATCCCCAGTCAGCGCACATGTGGGAAGCAACCAGTCGATGTTTCTCTTTCACGCTGATGTTTCTCATTCTCTCTCCCCCTTCCTTTTCTCACCCCCCTGCCCCATTCTTCTCTCTCTAAAATCAATAAACATATTCTTGGGGGAGGATTTAAAAAAAACAACAAGAATAAATGGGAGGGAAAGGAGAGCGTGGTAGGCAGAATTCTAGAGCTGTTCCCCCAGGGCTCCCAGCCCTAGTGAGTCCCATCCCCTAACACTAATCCAGGGAACGCTGAAGGGGCTTCGCAGAGTAGCTCGGGTCCGCAAGCAGCTGACCTTGAAATAGGCACATTATCCTGATTTACTCACGTAGGCCCAGTGTAGTAACATGAACCCCTAAAAGCAGAAGAGAAGGATGACCTATCAGTCAGGGAAATGAGGCAGAAAGAGTGCTCTGAAGGCCTTGGAGATGGAGGATGGAGGCCACGAGACAATGCAGGGAGTTCAAGGAGCAGGGAGCGGCATGACCCAAAGCAAGGAATTGGGGAGTTCAGTCCTACAGGGAAGGAAAGTCTGTGAAGAGCTTGAATGAACTGAGGTGTGGGTTCATCCCAGAGCCTTGCAGCCCTGCTGACACCTTGGTATCAGCCTTGTGTGGTTCCAACCTGCACAGAGAACGAGTTATGTCCTGCCATGGCCAGACTTCTGACTGCAAGGTGTAACACACTTGTGCTGGTTTAACCTGGGCACTTGGAGCTATTTTAACCTGCTAAGTTTGTAGCGATAGGAAACTAATCCAGAGGAGGGCACTGTAGAAGGAGGAGGAAAGAAAAGAGCTGGAAGCCAGCCACCTCGCTGCCATGGGATGAGTTCTTTCCATCTCACGAAGCTGAAACACGACCACTTTAATAAACAACTCTACCCGCCTTCCCTCTTGCTTGAGCGTGATGTTTTCATGTTTGGCTTCAGCTTCAAGGTGATGCTTTTTATTTGTTTGCAAGTGTATGGGAAGTTTATTTTAGTCTTTGGAATTATGAGAATCAGAGAACGGGGAAAATACACTTTCTTCAGTGCAGAACAGGTTCAGTTTTCAGGCTTTCGGTGAGATCACTACTCAGTGTGGAATAAGAGTTTGGTTTAGGTGTTGGGGGAAGAGAGAGACACGCACTAGATGAG